GAGAGAGAGAGAGAGAGAGAGAGAGAGAGAGAGAGAGAGAGAGAGAGAGAGAGAGAGAGAGAGGGAGAAAGATCTTTTTCTTCTTCTTCTTCGTGCGCACCCTGCAGCGGCGCACGCCGCGCGAGCATGCGGGATAGCGGCCCCGCGCTGCCCAGCGGCCGCTGCACGGCCGTCGCCATCGCCGCTGCAGGCCGCGGTCGGGCACGGCCGAACACGGCCGAACGCGGCCTTCGCCACACGGCCGTCGCCATCGCCGCTGCAGGCCACGTTGTTTTCAAGCGCGCGGCCATTTTAGCGCCCGGCCGCGGTCGGGCACGGCCGAACACGGCCGAACGCGGCCCGGCACGGCCGATCTCGGCCGATTGAGCCCGATCACGGTGGAGTGAGGCCGGGCAAGGCTCCCCACCTCGTAGGCGGGCTGTTGGGCGGCCGGCCGGGTTGCTGTTGTGTCGTGGGCTTGCGCGACATCACGGGGATGCGGCAGCAGGAGCGGCAGGGACGTCAGGGTTTGGCGACATTCAGGGGACGCTTCATCGACGGTGCAGCGTGGTCAGACGACATCCAAGATCGAGGCCACGACTTGTTGGATCCTGGTGGGAGGGCGATGACGGGGGGTGCAGGGAGCAGCGGTGTCGGGGGGTCTAGGGGTGGCCAATTCAACCCGCTGTACGAGAAGGAGATGGCGAAGTTGAGGCGAGGGAACATTGTTTGGAACTTTGTCACCGGGGGCGCGAACGTCGGGGACCAGTCCAAGATGCACGGGGACCGAAAGTTGCGTTGCAACTTATGCGGCCACCTGTTTCAGGGGGGGCGTCGAAGGCCGCGCGTCATTTCACGCCGTCGAAGTTCTGCAAGGCTGGGGAGATGAGAGTTCTCGCGGAACTCTGGAACGACACGGACTACACATTTGTGCCGTCCACTGCTCAGCGGGTGCAGAGGTGGATGGCAGACGAGGGCATACGGGACACGAGAGCGCCCACGGGTGGCCAGAGAGCAGATGGACGACGCTGAGAGGGACAACATTCAGGACGCCCTCGATGAGGAGGGCCGCGAGGGTGGGGTCAGGGAGGGGGGGGTGGCAGACGAGACAGACGAGGCAGTCAGAGAGCTTGATCTGCCAGGGGAGGAGGTGGCGATGACGTCGAGAGGCGTTGGTCGAGCGGGTCCCGCTCCTAGGGCGCCGCGACCTGAGTTGGACCGCGCGAGGAGGGAGAAGAGGGCAGTGGGGCAGGCTGCCATGGAGGTGCCAGACACGGGCAGGGAGAAGAGGGCTCGACAGACCACGATTGACGAGATGTACGCCAGGGAGAAGTTAGCCGAGTTCACAGACGTGTGGCTTCAGTGGATCAATGTGAAGAAGTTGCCATTCAACGCCTTCCATGGTCCGGAGATCCAGAGGGTGCGGCAGGCAGCAGAGAGAGTGCCTCGCTCTATCCAGTTCCGGTTTCCCTCCTACAGGGTTACAGCGGGCGCCGGTATCGCTTCGCAGAGTGCGAAGGTGGCGACAATGGTGAGGGAGGTGCGCGCCACTTTCGGGCGCAGCGGTGCCACTATCCTTTCCGATGGGAGGAAGTCGCGCAGCGGCAAGCCGCTCGTGAACTTCCTCGCCGGGGGCGACAATGGCACCCTGCTGTACGCCACCGTCGCACGTGACGGGTCGGTCCGAGACAGCGGACGTCATGTACCGTAGGTGGCGGACCATCATCTTGTCCCTTCCTGCAAAGGACGTGATCGGCTTCTGCACAGACTCCACCAGTAACTATACGGCGGCAGCGCGCAGGTTCGCCGCAGACCCCGAGCCTGACATGAGGAGGATCACTTGGCTCCCCTGCTCCACCCATGTTTGCAACTTGATGTTGTCAGATATCGGGACACGAGTGGTGGGGGTCAAGGAGACCATCATCCGCGCTCGAGCGCTTGTGCGATTTATTAAATCGCACGGCGCTGCTCACACCCTGTTTAGGAAGGTGAGCCCTCGCGTGCAGCTCGTCGAGCCCGTTGAGACACGGTTTGCATCGGTTTTCCTGATGCTGACGTGTCTCAAAGGCCGACGAGACGGGTTGGAGAGCATGTTGCACGGGGATGCTTGGGCATGCATCCCGTGGGATCGCGCCCATGTATCTCAGGCGCAATGGGTGCAGTAGCGGATCCGAGGCAGGGAGTTTTGGCAGCGTGTCCAGTACGCCATCCTAGTCATGTCGCCCGTCCACCAGCTGCTGCGCAGGATGGATAGAGGTAGGATGATGATGTCCGTCGTTTACGAGTGGAGTCAGCATCTGCTGCACTTGATGAGGAGGGTGGATGTGCTGGAGGACATGATCCAGCCGTGTCTGCGTGAGGTTGCCATCCGCAACCTCCACATGCTAGAGCCCGCACATGCCGCGACCCACCTCCTCAACCCTTGTCGACGGTCCCTCACGTACTACCATTCGCTGCAGACGACGACCGACGACCGTCGTGTGGTCGAGGAGTGCGACAGATTTCTCCTGGCGCAGACCGGCGGCGATCCGATCGGCTTATTGTACAGGAGCGTGAGGAACCAGATGAGGGCGTTCCACTCGAGGCGAGGGGATTGGGGAGATCGTAACCTCTCTGATGCCGAGGCGGCCGATTGCAAGGGGGACAGCGAGACGGAGCGATGTGCAACGTGGTGGTTTGAGCATGGACGTGCCCACCTGGAGTTGCGCACCATCGCCATCCGTGTCAATGCACTTGTGGACGTCTGCCTCTCCAGCGGAGAGGAACTGGGCGGAGCACGAGCGCCTCAGCACGGCGAGGCGCTGCAAGCTTGGGTTCGCCAAGCTTGCACAACTGGTTGAGATTGCCACCAATCTCAAACTGGCCTCGTGCGCACGGCAGGGTGGTGGCTACGTGTTGCCATGGGTTATGGGGAGCGGTCACGGGGGGACGGCGGCAGAGGAGGAGGATGAGGAGGGAGATGTGGAGCCCGAGGTGTGGGGAGCGCGACCTGATGGCAGTGTTCTCGAGCAAGAGATCCAACGGCAGATTGTCGCTTTCCGTGACAGCGGACCGTCCAGAGCCCGTTCGGTTCGGGACTTGTTCGGCAGCAGAGCGACGGAGCTGCGACCGTGGCCGGAGGGTGGGGAGGATGTGGACGCTGCTGCGGTAGACGACGACATCGACGACGACTGGACTGACGATGATGACACGCCGCTGAGTCGCGACCCGACGGCTGAGCGAGTGTACTTCACTTACGGCGGGGGTCGTGACGGCATGGATTCATTCACATCAGTTATCATTGGTGATGTGTCGTCGACCACGCAGGCGAGTGGCAGCAGCAGAGCCGACGGTAGTGGTGGAGGACGTTCGCATTCGAAGGTTCGCGTGGACGACTTGGGGGATCAGCAGCCACGGGGAGGTCTTCGGCATACCGGCAGGTGTTAGGAGGTTAGGAGCGACAGCGAGGCCGAGGGGGAGGCCGAGGATGAGGAGGTGCCCCTTCACGATCGTCGCTTCTCTCCCTCCCATCATCTGATCTCTGCACAGCCCGAGGCACTTAGGCGTTCGGAGAGGTTGGCGTCCGGCAGACCCAGCGACGACAGCAGAGATAGTGCAGGATCGATGTCTCCACCGCCCGCACGGACTCCGGAGGCCAGGGTCGACACCGGGGACTGGACGGTGGCACCCGGAGTTGCGCACAGTGGCGGTTCCCCGCCGCCAGTCCGAGGATGTGTGGGTGGGGGATGGTCAGCTGTTCGTCGGGTCGGGGACCGGTTGCGGGCGGATTACGACGTCGGGAGGGGTGTCTTCACGGGACGTACGCTTGTTTAGACGCAGGCTGCGGAGGGTGGGTCCGGACGTCCGAGCCTGCGTATGGCAGGCCGCGTGCTTGGTTTGTCACGAGCGGAGACGAGGAGATCATTGGTCCTCGAGGCCCCAGGGACATCCACGGACAGGCTGCGGGAAGAGCAGTTCACATCGGGCGATGAGGGGTTGTTGATGCGTCCCGGGACGAGACGACAGCATGACCTCTCGGAGGTTGAGGCTCGACTCGCTGCAAGGGTCGCTGCTGGGCAGGCAGCATTGGACGCGATTCAGAGGGAGACAGAGAGGGGGATTGTTGCACAGGTGGAGGAGGACGAGGACGCAGACACTGAGTTAGAGCCGATCGAGACTGCGGCCCGCAGACACAGGGCACACGTGGCCGCGGCGACCACTGCAGCAGATGCGGCATACGTCAGCGGGGCACGGGGCACAGGTGCCGGAGGGAGAGGAGGGCGTCGGGGAGGACCGCATGGCCGCCCGTCCTCCGGGAGAGGCCGCGCGCGCTCTGGTGGGAGATGACGACGTCCGTGGTGTTTTGTTTTTTTTTTTCATTAGTTTTTCTTTGTTTTTCGTGTGGCTGTACAGCCTGGACGCTGTGTCGGCAGGGTTGTTGCATATTTATGTCGATGTTGTTCCATGGAGACGACGACAGTCTCGACAGTATTTGGACATTAGGGTTTTTTTTTTTTTTTTTGATACTCGGTTGTACAGTAGAGACGACACCCGTCGACGGGTCAAGTTTTTTTTTGCTACTCTGTTGTGTAGCAGAGACGATGGGTGCAGTTTTTTTTTGCTACTCAGTTGTGCAGTAGAGACTACGGGTCCAGTTTTTGGATTCAGCCTTGTACATACGCATTTCCATTGAAATGCTTTGTCATAGATTTGCTCTTGTTCTTGTTCCTCCGCCAACATTGGTCTTGCAGCTGAGTCACTGTTGTTTGGTGATTGTTTTCTGCTTTGTTGTCGTGATTGTTGCAAATTATGTGCTTCTCTGATGCCACGCACCTGCATGTCATGGATGCCTCCATTGTGAATGTGCTGTTAATTTCAGATGCGACATAGGGATGAAGTGCTAATGAATGTGTTCTTACATAAATGATGTGCTAATGAATGTCCATCAGTCTCATGAGTGAACACACACTATGACACACTTGCCTGTCATCATTGTTTGAAACTTGTGGTTCGCCGCACTGTGATTGATTTTCAATGTGTTTTGACATTGGTATGCCAAACAGGGTCTGACTTATGATTGCCATGAATGTGTTGTTTTAAAATATGCCACGAACTGTCATCGCCCTCATGAATGAAACCGACGCCTACCTTTCAATGCGTGAGGCCCTGATCCGCCTGGGGTCTGCCACCTCCAGCCCCGTCTAGCTTTGACTCGGCTTGGCTTTACGGCCCGCCCCAACCAGGCCCTCATCCAACCCACGTTGGGCCGCCCCCGCACTGCCCGCAGGGGTCAAATATTTTTTTTTATATTTTTTCACTGTTCTTGACCCTCCTCCCTGCGCCCCCGCATCGATGAACCTCCACACGGGGGACGCTGGATTTTTTGTGGCCCACCCTTCCAGGGTCTTGTGCAGGACCCCCCCGTTTGTTTTTTTTTGACGGCCTGTCACTTTGAGGGGGTGCCCCCCCACCCCCCCACCACAAACCCGCTCCCCGCTTCGAAAACCGGCGCCCAGATCGGCCGACAACAAGGCCGAAAAAACTCGGCCGGCCTCGGCCGGGGGGGTCCCGGCCTAGGCCGGCGGCTGCGGCCTGAGCCGAAACCGTCCGTGGCCAGCGTGCAACATAGCACTATCACACTTCTTTCAATGTGTATGTGTGTTTGTGTGTTTGTGTGTCTGTGTGTGTGTGTGTTTGCGGGAGGGAAGCGACCCCCCCCACACCAAATCAATCAATTGGTATTTCACCGTGCGTGTGTGCGCGCGCGCACGCGTGTGTGTGTTGTGTGTGTGTGTGTATGTGTGTGTGTGTGTGTGTGTGTGTGTGTTGTTGTGTGTGTGTGTGTGTGTTGTTGTGTGTGTGTGT